GAGAGGTCACACACACACACACACACACACACACACACACACACACAGTTTACTGGGAGTGGAGATAGTTTCAGCAGCCTGACCAGTGACATTAATAGGCTGCAGTGGAGGATGTGTGTGTGTTTTGTCATGTATGTGTGTGAAAGGAAGATAATTGTTCACCGTTTTACACACACACACAGATGTTAATTATTGACGCCGGGAGGTTTAATTGGTGTGTGAGTTGAATAATGCAGCGACCGTAGTGCTTTTTACTGTCGCCACACCGCAGAGACACACTGCTGCATGTGTGTGTGTGTGTGTGTGTGTGTGTGTGAGCATGAATATTCATGAGCTCTTGTGGTTAATTTGTCGTCTGTTTGTTAAAGCCAGAAAGACACAAGATGTTCTCTCTCGCCTTTCACCAAAACCTGTCTCACTGTGTGTGTGTGTGTGTGTGTGTGTGTGTGTGTGTGTGTGTGTGTGTGTGTGTGTGTGTGTGTCTCAAGTGTGTGTTGGTTGTTAAATGCCACAACAGGCACTGATCCACAGGCATTTGCCGTCTGTCTGCTCTGTTTACGAGTGTGTGTGTGTGTGTGTGTGTGTGTGTTTGTATGTGTGTGTGACAGCTAATATGTCGACATCTGTGTTGACAGGAAACTAATTTTCTTGTCTCTCTTACAGGAGACAAAGATCGACTGTGTGCGAGTCGCCACCAAAGGTAAATAAATATGCTGCATTTTATTTTGAAGAAGTATATTTTCAGATTAGATTATATTATTTATTATTATTTGGAACCAGACAGAACCCACTAGAGTCATTTTTATATTTGAAAAGGCAGTAAAGAGAGCAGCTTTGAAAAAAATATTATGAAAATACATAAAGACACAAAACACACACAATATGAATTATTACACGTTTTTATACATAACAACATACTTTAGGTTTAAATCTGTAAATGGAGATTTTATTCTGAAAGGTAAAAGTGCTATTTTGAAATTGACTCTTATTTTATTTTGGAAGGTTCCCTATTATTTAATTTTAAAAGGTTTTTGCTGCCGTTAAAATCAACTAAAACATGTAGATGATAGATTATATTATATATTGAACGTTTTTGTTCCATCAATTCAATAAAATTTTTATTTTGGAGGGTGTTCCTGATGATTTTATTCTAAAAGTTGAGTACATTTTATTTTGAAAGGTGTTGAGTGCTCTTTTATTTTGAAAGATGTTGAGTACTGTTTATTGCCAAAGGTTTTAGGGACAGTTTAGTTTTAATCTGCAGAGTTGTTAATATTATTATTATTATCCCAAAAGTTGTAGGTGACATTTTATGTGGAGATTTTCTCATTTTCTAAAAAGTTCAGCTCATTTTAATTTGAAAGTTCTTTAATGAAATTTTACGTTTTGAGCATATTTACATTTATTGCCAATAAAAAGGGAATATTAAAAGCTAGGAATTATGTATCTTTAAAAAGGTGGTACATTTGACTTAAGTAGATTTTATTTTGAAAACACATAAAGCACATTTTATTTTGAAAGGTATAGAGTAGTTATATTTACATGTTTGTGTAGAGTGTGTTTTACCTTGTAATGTGTTACTATTAATGCTTAAGAATGGTAAACATAGTATGTTTTATTGTGAAAGGTATAGAATTGTTTTATTTTTAAAGGCATAGAATTGTTTCATTTTAAAAGGTGCTGAGGAACATTATATTTTGAAAAAGGTTCAATAAGATTTTATTTTGACAGGAGAAAAATACCATTTAATTTTCATACATACTCAATAATATTTTATTTGAAAAGTATTCCATACATTTTTACTTACCATTTTATTTTGAAAAGTGGAGAGTACATTTTATTTTGTGCTGTTAGCCGTGAGCATCACTAGCAATTTGGACCTAATGTCTGGTCTCTGCTGAACTTGATTTAACTGCTATATTAGCCGCTAGCTAGCCAGTCAGCGGCTAGCCCATTCTGTGTAATGAGACACAGATGGCAGTTAGCTGTTGGAGTGCTACGCTAACGGTTATCACACTGGTCCCATCCAGAAGTATAATGGCTCACAGATGGCTGCTGGTCCCTGACATCTGTCTAGTAACAGGAAGACCTAATGTCCTCCACAGACAGACAGGCAGGCAGACACACAACAGAAATACAGCACACACTGAACTCTATGCTATGCTAATGCCAGGCTAATGACTGGGACTCTATGGGTGTCCAGAGAGCCATTTAGCAGCACAGCTAAACAAGCTAAAAACACAGTTATCACCCCCGATGAACATCCAGAATTATCTCACTCACACACACACACACTCATTTATTGACTGTTCTGGCTTTAATCAGCTTTTATTGGAGCACAGTTCTGGTGGCTAACGGCACCAGATGCTGATTGGTTGTTCTGGTCCCCTGACACCTGTCAGTCACGCTGCAGCAGCCAACCAGATCTCCCAGGGGGGAGTCCCCCCCACCCCCTCTTTCAGAGCTAACAGTGAATGGAGCTGATGTGAATGTAAAGGAGAGAAGAACGTCTTCTGAATGTTAACTGGACCGTTTAGCACAAAGAAAACACAGTTTACAGCTAAATGATTTTATTCTGAAATAGTAGGAAGCTCTGAAACACACACACATTCACCTCACATAGACAATTAACACAAGCTCAGGATGTCAAAGGGAGGAAATTCACATCTAAGTAAACAAAGAAGACAACAAACACATGATATTAAATATTTATATATTCACATTATATACAAACATTGATCATATTTATACTATATATATATATAAATATGTATAATTTAATATTGTGTTGGACATATTGAAGACCTGTAGAAACAGTTGAACTTTTTGTTTCTGCTGCTGAATCCTCGTCTCTCTGAACTGTTGATGTTTCTGCTTGTTTTAATGACTAATGATTGATTGATTGATTGATTGATTGATTGATTGATTGATTGATTGGCTGGCTGATTAACAAGCATCTCTTCCAGGTGTGTTACTAATATCTCTGCTTCAGTACAAACCCCTGCTACAGCCTGTCTGTCTGTCTCTCTCTCTCTCTGCATGCCTTCCTGGATGAACAGCTGCTATAATCGTCACCCAGCTCACCACGCCGTACATTCGCATCGCTCCGGCGGCCGGAGACAAGCAGCTCCCAGGTTAGAAAACACACAGAAATACACAGAAACAATAAGAAACAGTGTCTCCTGTGAAGAGTGAGACTGGTCTAAGATCAGCTCTGGCCTCAGTGAAGTGATGAACTGGGTCTGGATCAGGACCCGGTGCGCGAGGTCTAGAACTCCCTCCAGAAGAGTTTCTGGTTCATCCCGGTGGAGTCAGACAGAGTCATGGTCAGACCTCCGTTCTGTAGGAGCTGTGGTCAGGAGGTCATCGGGGCCGGATATGGAGACGACCTGAGAACCTGCTGGTGGACCAGCCGTGTAGGAGGCCTTCTGGTCTTGGATGGTCTTGGGGTCTTCAGAGTCTCATGGAGGTCTGGGACAGGGACTGTGGACTGGTGGACCGGGGTGGTGGTTCCCATTTATCGGTGTATCACACTGCTGATCCTCCGAGGGAAAGGTTATTCTACGGTTCTGGAAAGGAGGTTCAGACCGATTGTGGAACCTCAGATTCAGGAGGATCTATGTGGATTCTGTCCTGGTCCTGGACCAGTGGACCAGCTCTTAACCCTGGCAGGTCAGTTGGAGAGGGTCATGGGAGTTTTGCCCATCCAGTCTACTTGTGTTTTGTGGACCCGGAGAAGGCCTGCTACCGTGTCCCTCTCAGAGTCCTGTGGGGGGTACTGTAGGATGACAGGGTACCGGGGTCATCCCCTTGTCACGGATCCTGGTTGTGGTTTTCATGGACAGGATCTCAAGGACCCAGCCGGGGAGGAGAGTGTCCGGTTTGGGGACCTCAGAATATCCAAAATGTGGTCTTCAGAGTGTGAAGTAGTCGGGATGAGGGTCAGACCCTCCAGGTCTGAGTTCAGGGTTCTCTGCTGGTCCGGTAGTGAGTCTCTGGTCTTGCTAATAGTGAGGGTTCAAATAAAGAGTTAGATGGAGGTTCAGTTCGGTGTCCACAGTGGATCTCGTTGTACTGGACCGTTGTGGTAAAGAAGGAGTCCTGAAGGCAAACCTCTGGATCTACCAGTCCGGTTCAAGTTCAGACCCTCAGCTGTGGTCCTGATCTTTGGGTGGTGACTGAAACAAGGAGATCAAAACTAGCTGAGAGGAGCTTCCTTTGTAGATACTCTGGACTCAGAGTAGAGACGCTGATCCTTCAGGTTCAAGGGGACAGGAGGTTCAGCATCTGATCGTGATCCTCCTGGATACCTCCCTGGTTAGAGACCCAGTAGACCCAGATTACTCAGGAGAGACTATATATCTATATATCTATATATATCTATATATATATCTCTGTATATATCTATATATATATATAGATATATACAGAGAGAGATTGTGTGGACATTAATCTACGATGGACAGCTGACACACACTTTCATTCACAGTTCGCAGAAAATTACATTTAAATATTTAGCACCCTGAAGGTGGAAACTTTCCACCAACTGTTTATAAGGTGTGTGTGTGTGTGTGGGGGGGGGGGGGGTTGTGTACCTTGAAGCCCTCAAACACTCTGAACAGCTGTTTGTCTTGTACACACACATTAGAACACATACACATTATGACACACACCTCCCACTCAGTATGACTGGCTGAAGCCTGAAGCAGAAAACAGCTTCTCTTCGGCCTACTGTGAGACACACACACACACAGATAAATTCTCTCTACAAAGTGTTTTGATAGCCTTTAAACTGAAAGCAGCAGATCTCTCTGCCTCTCTGAGGCGTGTGTGTGTGTGTGTGTGTGTGTGTGTGTGTGTGTGTGTGTGTGTGACCTTGAAGAGGCAAAATGAAAACAGAGAGAATAAAGAAAACTCTTTCGTGGTCCAGCACTTTTATCATTATACTGAAAGTCCAGATGCAGTAAACTGAACTGATCTCTGGTCTCTGGTACAGGCTGGTCTCTGGTCTCTGGTACACACTGGTCTCTGGTCTCTGATACAGACTGGTTAGTGGTCTCTGATACAGACTGGTCTCTGGTTTCTGGTACAGACTGGTCTCTGTTCTCTGGTACAGACTGGTTTCTGGTACAGACTGGTCTCTGGTTTCTGGTACAGACTGGTCTCTGTTCTCTGGTACAGACTGGTTTCTGGTACAGACTGGTCTCTGTTCTCTGGTACAGACTGATCTCTGGTCTCTGATACAGACTGATCTCTGGTCTCTGGTACAGACTGGTTTCTGGTACAGACTGGTCTCTGGTTTCTGGTACAGACTGGTTTCTGGTACAGACTGGTCTCTGTTCTCTGGTACAGACTGGTCTCTGTTCTGTGGTACAGACTGGTTTCTGGTACAGACTGGTCTCTGGTCTCTGGTACAGACTGGTCTCTGGTCTTTGGTACAGACTGGTCTCTGTTCTCTGGTACAGACTTGTCTTTGATACAGACTGGTCTCTGGTCTTTGGTACAGACTGGTTTCTTTCTCTCCCATTTTTCTAACAGTCCAGTGTAGAACTCTACTGGTCTGACTGGTTTCTGATGTGATTTCCTTCTGTCATAAATAGAGACACCGAAATGTTTCCACTTTTTCATCTCCGTCACGGCCAGTTTAACACACACACACACACACAAACACACACAAACAGACACACTCTCTCTGTGACTGATGGTGGGTGTCAGGTTCAGATTGGGAAAGTGTTGTAGGTCTAAAATGACACACATTTATTACACAGCTCGACAGCGTTTCTCATCTACAGAGTCATCACACACACACACACTCACACACAGGCAGGTAATGGGTTTTTCATAGGACTGACATCTCATCACATTATACAGTCAGAAGGACTCTCCTCTCTCCATCCGTCACACCTCCTCTTTACATCCTCTTCAGCTCCTCTTCTCCTCTGATTCATTATTTAGTAGAGCTTTATGTCATGGGAGGGTTAATGGTTACTAATACTGTATGTTAATAGTTGGTAGTTAATATAATCATTATGCAGTAATATTAACGATGTGATCGAGAAACCAGATCTGCATCAATCAATCAATGGCAGTAAATATTGACAATCATTGTAAATGTAACGTACTTCTAATTAAAGTCACTTCGTAGACCAGCACCAGTAGATCATTTCAGTCAGTACAAGTTCATGTTTCTAATGCTTGTCAATGGTAATGAAGAACTAGAACTAGCAGTTCATTGTATTGTACAGTAATTCTGTCGATATTGAGATGAGTTGATTTTAATTGTTGTTTAACGGTTTCAGGAGCTGCGACCAGGAAACCAGAACCAGAACAGGAGAAACAGTCGGATCACACGGTGAAGATCGCCGGAGCCATCGCCGGCGTCCTGCTCTTCATCATCATCTTCCTCGGAGTCATCCTGCTGATGAAGAAACGGTAAGAATGTTACAGTGAAACACACTCAGTCTGTCTGTCTGGTGTCCTCCTCGTCAATCATATTTATATTGTTTTTATTTTTATGTAGTTATTGTTTCTTGCACTACAGTTATTATCATTTTCAATCACCAAATATAGTTTTTAACATCCTCCTTTTTAAAGTCTTTGGTCCTTTATTATTATTATTATTATTGTTATTATTATTGTGTCAATAATGGGGATTCATTTAGATGAATGTCTTCAGTGTGGTGACCAGGAGATCAGTTCATGTTAATGGTAGTCAATGGTTGCTTATAATACTTAACAGAAGTTTATATTAGTTAACAATATAATGGTATTTAACTGGAAGTTAATGGTAATTAATGTGTTAAATGGTAGTTAATGGTAATTATTGCTAATTAATGATACAGTTTGTCTCTTTGTACTTTGTTCAATACTGCTATTACAGTATATAGATATACATGTAATAGTGGTATTATTCTATATTACATGTAGATAAATTAAGTAACATCAAGGAACCACGCACACACACACACACAGTGAGGATGATGAGTATGAATAATGGAGCAGATTGCAGCAGTAATCACCATTAAACTATATGTGGACCCACTTTATTCTCCAACATCAAACACACAACCCCGCTGGGACACACACACACTCACACACACACACTCTTAAACACAGCGCAAAGCTTCTGTGTTTGGAGAACGTCGACGATAAGAGAGAAATTTAGATGAAAGAGCGTTTTATTCTTTTTTTCCAGAGTCGCCTCGAGCTAAATGGCTTCAGGCTACAGAAACACACACATTTACATTCACACACACACTTTTCTAAAGGGAGTGTGTGTGTGTGTGTGTGTGTGTGTGTGTGTGTGTGTGTGTGTGTG